AGAGGCCATAATTTTTCTCAAGCAACAGTCTATTCAACCTGAATCCTCCTTTTTTTTACACTTTTCACAATCTAAGTTTAATCCGGTTTTCCAAAGTCCTCTTTCTTCTAACATTTACTTTATTCCTTTTGGCTTTTCTCTCATATCAGGATCCGGGTAATTGTTTCCAAATACCATTTCCTGCTCTTTATATTGGCCATTAATATCAATAAAAGTTGTTGGCCGCATAATATTTTGCTTCCCCCGGGTTCTTTGTTCATTCTTTGTACTATAAGGGCATCTTCTGCAAATACCGTATGATTCGTACTGTTATCAAAAGCGAAGACAGCTATTGTACCAGGAAACTTTGCTTCAAAAATAGGAATGGCCTTTTCCTTAATTTGTTTTAATAAATACTCAATTGTCTAGTAATCCTCATCATTTTTACCAGGTGTAAGATAATAGCGCGCTTCTGCAGGAACATTAGGATAGTTTTTTTGTTCATCCTCACTTAGCCGCAATCGGCCACATGCCTCTAAAATAAATTCACTAACCATTATAGACTTGCCATTCCCTTTTTTGCGTAGTGACATCATCCCATCATACACTCAGATTTCTCTTTTTGCATTATTCGCATAGAAAATATACTTATCGTGAGTGACCAACATCAGCTCTCGCTCGCCCTCTCTAAGCATTGGCAGAACAGGTTCCATTTTTTTTCCTTCATATGTTACCATCCGTTGCTCTAAGACCTGCATTCTTTCTAAAAACTTATTCTGATATTCAACAACGTCCCTCCATTCGTGTCCATTGAAGTACATACCCTTCTGGTATTTTTTAAATCGACAACCTAAAACGTTTAACTATCTTTTAGCTGTTCTCAAGCTAATTGATATCCTTGTTCCTCCTGTATATATAGGCAAAATAGCAGAATCAACGTATTGTTTAAACCGGGATATACTAACGCCATTTACCTCTGATTCTTCCTGTATTCACTGTCTACATTTTAGCGCCACATCTTCATCATCAATTAATCATTTGTATTTTTGATGTCGGCCATGACTGGAAAATGGAAATGATTCATGACGTAAATAAAAATTACCAAAAAACTGGATCCTTTTAGATTTATATGGGTTTGGATTAATATAAACTATGTTTGCTGCAGCTTGGCTTGTTTTTAACTTTCCATGGCCATCATATAGCCTTATGAAGTATTCATAAATAGCGCGTCGTTCATTATATTCAAAAGCACTGAATGTCTTTTCACTTTTTAGAAGATTTTCCTAAAGCTGAGCAATTATATCACCAAATTCAAAATGTGCTTCTTTGTTACCATCGTTATCTCCACTATCACCACCATCCTCCCTTTCATTATCACCACCATCCTCACTTTCATTTTCCATCCTTTTCTTTTTTTCTGCTTTCGTCTTTTTCTTTTTCTTGTTTCCCTTTCTCTTTTTTTTTTGCTTTATTTTTCTTTTTTTCTGGTTTTTTCTTCTTTTTTCGCTTTAATTCTTTTCTTCTTTCCTGCTTCTTTCTTTTTCTTCTTTTTCACTTTTTTTTTCTCTTACCCTTTCTTTCTGTCTTTTTCTTTCTTTTTCTTGTTTCACTTTTTCTTTTCTTTTTTCTGCTTTATCTTTCTTTTTTTTTGGGGAGTTTCTTCTTTGTCCGCTTAATTCTTTTATTCTTTCTTGTTTCTTTCTTTTCTTCTTTTCCTGCTTCTTTTTTTTCTTTCTTTTCACTTTCTTTTTTTCGTTTTCTATTTTTTTTTCACTTTCATCTTTTTCTTTTTTTTGTTTCCCTTTCTCTTTCTTTTTTTTTGCTTTATCTTTCTTTTTTTCAGTTTTTTCTTCTTTTTTCGCTTTAATTCTTTCTTCTTTCCCGTTTTTTTCTTTTTCTTCTTTCCTGCCTTTTTTTTTTTTCTTTTACCTTCTTTCTTTCTGTCTTTTTCTTTCTTTTTTTTGTTTCCCTTTTTCTTTTCTTTTTATGTTTTTCTTTCTTCACTTTATTTTTTCTTTCTCGCTTCTTTCTTTTTCTTCTTTTCTTGCTTCATTTTTTTTTTTTTTCCTTTTCACGTCTTGTTTTCCTGCTTTTCTTCTTTTTCTTTTGCTTTTTTTTTTTTTTCGTTAACTAACCCACTTTTCTTTTGGCCCTAGTTGATCTTGGAATCATCAATCTTGGAGTCATCGTTCTTTGAAGTCGTCATCTTGGAGTCATCATTCTTTGAAGTTGTTGTCTTGGAGTCATCATTCTTTGGAGTTAGTTGTCTTGGAGTGTCGTCTTGAAGTCATCGTTCTTTGGAGTCATCGTCTTGGAATCGTCGTGTAATTTTGGTGCCTTTGAAATGTTCGTTGGAGACTTTTGTGTCACAAGAACTTTGCCACCGTCAATAGTTTTATTGTTAGTTTTTTTTTAAATAAAGCGAGTAGGCAGGTGAATGGGTAGAATTTTAAATAAGCGTAATGGCATTCATTTGTAATTAGCTTTTTTTTTTTTGTATTTTTTTTTTTTTTTTTTAAATAAAAAACTTAAATTTTTTAATAAAAGTTACACAATTCATATGATCAATTTTGATTGGTCAATTATGGGTCGCCATGGCGATGGGTCACTATAAACTAATATCTATTAAATAAAATATGTTTTTATAATCAAAATAATCCTAGTTTCATAGAACCAAATTAGCAATTGTCTTAATAAAATTTTGAGAAAATAGTCTCTAAAACTATAACTCTTTAAATTTATTTAAATTTTAGCTATTTATAAATATCTTCGATTTTTTTGAAATTTTATTAAGTAAATCAATTTTGTATATTAAATAAAAAATATTCTTCTAATCAAAATAGTTCTAGTTTAATAGAACTAAATTAGTGATTAACTTAATAAAATTTTGAGTAAATAGCCTCTGGAACTATAACTCTTTAAATTTTAGCTATTTATAAATATCTTCAATTTTCTTAAAATTTTATTAAGTAAATCGATTTT